TCCAAGCTCATCTTATTCTAGGGATCTCTCTCTCGCTCTTAAAGATCTACCTTTTCTGTTGCAGGCTGCTTTTCTGTTTTACCTTTTCTTCTAGTACATTTCTTTCTGTCTTTTTTTATTGATAAAATGTATTTCTTGAGAATTTCATTCACATGTGCCTCTTCTTATTTATAATTTATTTAGTTTATGTGCATTGGTATTTTTTTTGCATGTGTGTCTGTGTAAGAATGTTGGATCCTGGGATTACAAATAGTTGTGAGCTGCCATGTGGGTGGTGGGAACTGAACCCAGCTCCTCTGGAAGAGCAGTCAGTGCTCTTAACTGCTGAGCCATCTCTCCAGCTCCAACCTGTGTGCCTTTTAATGCAGTTCTCTCCAGTGAATATCACCTTCCCTACATCAGCTACTAACCACCACCACCTGTCAGTTAAACAACTTCTCATTTGCATCCGCGGTCCAAGCTTCTCGCCAGGTTTCAAGGACTTCCTGGACGTCTTTAGTTAAATTCGGTCATGTTCAAACCAGAAACTGCTATTTTCTCTTTAAATCTGTTCTCCTTCCTGATTTCCCTGTCCATCCTCTTTCTTACAGGGATAACAAGATTAGAAGCCATTTGAATGCACCACCGTTCTTTTGCATCTACTATATAATCAGGTAGTAACTAAAATATCTCACTCAAATCTTGAAAATGGATCTTAAATTTATTTCTTAAAATATATATTGATTAATTTATTTTTTCACCATTTTTTCCTTGTCTTACTTGTCATGGCCCACAGAGGCTATCTACTGAGACCTTACTTAGGGTCAGATAATCTGACACAAAAAACTCCTGGGAGTAATTTATAATATTTCTGAACATACACAGGATTTGAGCACCTCTAAAAGATTCTGTTGTAGCTTCAGTATTGAGCGAGGGACTCTTTAAAGAATGTCTTAGGATGATATGGAATTATCTTTGGGAATTTGTTTGCTTGTGGAAATGACTTCTATTCCATTTTACTGAGTTTATATTTAGGCAATATAGTTGGTGCTTGTAAATGTGCTTTTTACTTAGCTGAAAGATAGACAAAGTTCTTTGTCTCACAGTGACTGCACTATATTTCTTCATCACTAAGCTACAATTCTTATCTTCTTATAGAAAGGTAGCATTTTGCCTCTTGGTGATGTAGCTAATGTCATTGATAACTATCAGTTACAAATTGTGAGTACCTATGCTACTAATGATTACAAGTCTGCCCTCCAACTGATGGCCTCCATTTGCTTTCTGGAGAAATAGTATGTGTTGAGCATATGGCTATAACTGATTCATCTCTTTTTCCATTAGTTGTAGTTTATCAGTCTAATAAAGTTGTTATGTGTATCATATAAATAGGCTCAACTACTATCAGACATAATTCTTTTGTATAATGCAGTTTTTAATCATTTAACTTTCAAGTTTAAATAAAAGCAGATATATGTGCACATATGAAGGAGCAGAAGTGTTTCAAAGAACTGTACAATACATGTTTCTAAGAGAAAAGGCTCTATGACAAAAAATACTCATATCAAGTAAAAACTTATGGAAGACTGTTCTAAAGGTTTTTTTTTAAATCTATAATCTTATGTCACTTTTAATGGAGAGTCAATGTGTTTGTTTCCCAGACCCCAGGAAAGTCTACAATCAGGCCCTCGTACTGCATCATTATCTTCATCAGTATCATCTTTTATGCAGTGGGGCTGTCTTTAGGGAACATTAATTGCTAGCTATCTCTTAGGTACTTAAGGGCAATCTTGGAACAATTACCATGTATTTATGGGAATGAGGTATTCATTTATTTATTGCTTTTCTTCTAACAATCCCATAGCACTTGACTCAAGCTGATAACAGTATAAACAGGCTCACTGAGTATTTCGGGAATTGCTTTTCTCTCATCCCCACTATGTACCCTGCAGCACCTCAATACTCCCCTATGGGGCTCACTCTTGCCAGTTAAAACTATAGTGCTGATTGTCATCAAGAGTGTACTGAAGCTATCTTTTCTCAGTCGATTTCTTGTAACAGATATGAGACTATCTTTTCCTCATTTTTTTCAGAAGACTCAGACCGTAATACTGGTATGTGAATCACACAAATTTGTCTACATGGAGGTCACCTATCTGGTTTTCAGATAAGATTCTAATAGATATAATCTCTGTGTTGGTTATTTGGGTGTTTAGGTGAAATAAACATTCAATCTGACAGCATAAAATACTACTGATGATCTTAGTAAACCTATTTATTTGACTTAAAATATAGAATTAATTTCTCCATTTTTGTAGAGCCATAGAGCCTTCCTTTTTTATATATCTTAATTTAAATATACATAATATATGATAATATATGGATGAAATCATAATACTGAATGAAAAGACACGTGATTTGATCTATTAAAGGAAGAAAAAGATCTCTTACTTTCCAATCTTTGAGTTCATTCCTGGTCACCTATTTCTAGATTTTCTATATGTAAACCCTTCCAAGAGAACTTTGGCATCAAACTTAGTATATAATCATCTTAAAAATTAAATTTTGCCTGCCATATAAATAAAAATATGAAAACAAAGGAATAATTTGAAATGGTGAAGCCAATAACAGGAAGTCAGCAGATGATGCTAAATACAGTATACATGTATACATGAATAAATTTAATTTGTATAGAAATCCCTTGCAGTCTTGAAAAAAAAAGGAACTGAGGTGTTCCAATCAATGATATTTAGATTAATTTAGTCTTGTTTTACAGACATGAAAGAAAGTTCAGGATAGACATGTTAAATAATTTATCCCATGTGCTTCAAATCTTAACTAGCAAGAACAGAATTCCAATAATGATTCATTAGTTAGGCCATTTATTGCTGTGAAAGAATGAATTTGAAATTTAATGGCTTGAAACAACAATTTTACATGAATTTATCAGGCAGTTGGATACTATGTACGTTTAACAGGATAATTGTAGCAGGTTCATCCCTAGGGTCTCTTGGGATGAAGAACTAAGGACCCACACCATGGATACTTAGTTAGATTTATAATTTCAAGCATGTGTTTCTTTTTCCTGTGAAGCAGGACTTAAATCCAACTAGAAAGCAGTTGGTTACATTCATAACATTTGCACCACTAGTGCACATGGGCATATTTGTATCTCTCTATCCATAGATCAGTATAGCTCCTGCACTTCATCAGAGAGGTATCTTTACGTAGTGGATGGTGGTTCAAAGTGAGAGAATAAGTGTTAGTGGAGGAGGTCATCTAGATTTCACTTCTCCTTCTCACAAGGCTCAGAGCCCATTACAGAAGGGGTCGTGGAAAGACGATAAGAGCCAGAGGTCAGGGAGGACCACAGTGAAACAGTGCTTTCTGTATCTAATAGGAGAGCCGAACTTACAAACTCACAGCGAATGTGTTTGTCTGCACAAGACTTGAACAAGACTAAGCCAATCAGTTTTCAAGTATGAAAGAGAAAGGAGCTCACAAGTCTATACCCCTTCCTAAGGAGCTATGGACAATTAGATTTTTTAGGAGGGGAAGAGTCACTTTTCTTTATGGATGAGGCCCCTGCTACATTACAATACACCAGTGGATGGTCCCATACCCTGAAGTATATGGGCAGCACAATTTTAACCCAATGGAATATTGAAAAAAAAAATGAAAGGACACTAACTTGGAGTAGATCTTGGAGTAGTTAGAGCGAGGAGTGGGAAGATAAATATAATCAAAATATATTGTATGAACTTCTTAAAGAATTAATAAAAATACAAAATTATTAAATAAAACCCCTTTCATTGGTTATTGGGTACACTAGATTGAGCTGATTTGGCTTCTTTGTCTCACAAATGGCCATAGCTGCAGGTATCTGAGTAGGATGGGACTTCAGTAGGATTATAATGTCTGAGATGGTCCACTCACAAGCCTATCATTCAGTGCCGCCTACCAATTTTGATGAGGCTGTTGACTAAAGTATCTTGATTCTCTGCTTTTAAAATGTATTTATTTATCTAACGTGTGTGTGTGTGTGTGTGTGTGTGTGTGTGTGTGTGTGTGTGTTTGCATGAGTTTATATGCACCAGTTATCTACAAGAGCCTCTGGTGGCATGAAGAGATCATCAAATCCACTGGAACTAGAATTACATATAGTTGTGACTCGGCAGTAGGTTCTGAAAACCTAGCCCAGGTCCTCTACAAAATAGGTACTGCTCTTAACCACTTTGCCATCTCTCCAGACCCCACTCCTGTCTTTGGTGGTTGTAAAGGAAATTTTAATTCTGTAAATAAAAATAATATTTGCAAATATCTAAATAATTTTCATGAAAAATTTAATGGCAGTCTGTGTTGGGTTATATGTTTAATTCATTAGTGAATAAAAATGGAGAAATAATGTTACATTTTATGCCTTTATCATTGTTCAAATATATGCAGCCAATTTCTTAAAGTATAGGAATAATTTTGGATTTTACAGTCATTTTCTTTCAAAAGAATGACCTTGATTCCATTATTTCTGTAACATCAGGATTGTTATTGCAGCAGTTATCTTTTATTTTACTTTATATCAATGATTATAATTTATTAATAATGTTATTAATAGAGTTGACTTCTGTATAGAATTTTTTCATGGAAATGTTTTATTCTACAATAAAGCATTCTACATTTGTCTATGAAATGTATTTCTAAGCAGTAGTGTTTTACTTTAATGAATCAAATATTGATGGTCAGTATTCTATTAATATTGACATTTAGAAAAGATATAATCCTTCCCTCCTGAGTCATTATGCTAAGTTAAATGAGCAGAGTTTAAAGGTAATGCAATTTCAAAGCTCTGAGGTTACCTATGCCAACTCTGATAATGTCACGATCTTGTGGCAGGACACTGAGAAGTGATGTCAAAGACAGAATCTGAATGAAGTTGTTGTCTTCACAACTATGGATCTGTTATTATGAGTTAATAAAAACTAAAAGCAGTATGTGAGAAGCAGTAAGGAAAATCAGGAACTTACTTTTGGTGACAACACCTTCTAGGCGAATGATGTTTGGGTGGTCAAACTGACCCATGATGCTAGCTTCTCTCAGAAAATCTCTTCTTTGTCGGTCCACATGACCACCCTTCAGTGTTTTAATGGCCACTGGGATCTCCCTTTTCCCTGGTGTCTTCAAACGCCCACTGCAGACTTCCCCAAATTCACCTTAAAAACAAAGCAGAAATCATTTGTTTAAACCAAATACTTCTATGTCAAAAAATCCAAATTACCTTGCTGTCATTTAGAAAAGAATCTAAAACATGTCTTTCAAGTTTGCAATCTTTACTTAAAAACGCTTTTTCTTTACTCTGTATTAAACAATAGACCTGATTGTTTATAATGAATAATAGACTGCATTTCCATGTGCTACTCCGAGGAAGCTCTGTAAAGAGACATCCCTGATCTTCTGCAGAATTATGTCCAGCAGAATGTGAGGTGATAATGTAAATGTAGAGGAAAACAATCATTATCTAAAATTCCCTGTTCCTCTTCTCTGCCCTAATCTATGGGCCTAATACCATCTTTGTTCAGAGAATCTACCAAGTTTTGTGGTTTATTTGCTCTCTGAAGTCATATATCTGGGTTTTATGACAATTAGAAAGCAATATTGTTTCAATTAATTTATGAACATTGAGAAAAACCCATGCTGAACACAATTATAATAACTTATATAGGATAGAGAATTATACAAGCTATATTGATGAAAATGTAAATGTGTAAAAATGAGTTTTGTTTCAGCTCTAGTTACATCAATAGATTAAATAAGCAAGTATTTTCTAAATAGTTGCCACATATACTACTAGGTTGCTGTGAGATTCAAAGAGGTATATGGTATTATCTTGAACTCACAGAAAAATAGGAGATAAATGCAAATGAAACACTTAGAGCTTTCCATCCATGTCAATAATGCTTCCCTTAAGAACAGCTATGGTTTGAGGACTTGCAAAGAGGGTTATAGCTTATTTTGGGCTGTGAATGATGAGTATTATGTATAAGTACAGGAGCAGAAGAAACATACAGGATGGGTGTATTGAAGGTGTAAAGAAAATGAATAAAAAGATTAAAAGGTTAGAAACAGTCAATGAATGATGAGGATACAAGGCCACTGATTCTGAGGGGCTGTTATGGAAAAGGTCATAGTCTTTCTCAGGGTAACACAATACATTCAACAAAGATTAAGTGGGTGGGAAAATAACTCATTAAAAAGGGGCTTGCATATAAGTATGAAGGCCTGAGTTTGACCCCCAGAACTCATATTAAGAACACAGGTATAGGGGAGGTGGAGACAGGTGGATCCAATCCCTGAGGTTCATGGTTTAAGCCAGCCTAGCCTAGTAGGCAAATTTCAAGACAGTGAGAGCCTATCTCAAAAACCAAGGTGGATGGCTTCTGAGAAACTATACTTGAAGATGTTCAACTGTCCTACCTATATACCTGTATACAAAAAAACCCAATCAAACAAACCCAACCCTCCAAAAAACACCCCCAAACCAAAAATCCAGAATCTAAATTTTTCTATGGAAAATGATCTGCATTTACTTAAGACCATAATGTTTGATGCCAGTTTAGTAATTGGTAACATGATAGTGCTAATATTTTATGTTATTGCATAGGATTCCTTTTCTGCAGGAATATAAGGGAAATTAAAAGAGATAACATGCATGCAAATATTTACCAACTATAAATGGTCAGGGCTGGGAATGTAGCTCAGTTGCTAATGTTTGTCTACCATATATGAGGCTCTGGGTTCAATTCTCAGTATAGTATAAAGCAGTCATGTTGCTGTATGTCTGCAATCCCATCACTGTGGAGGTAGAGGCAGGAATATCAGAAGTTCAAGGCCATCACTACTTACAAAGCAAGTTCCAGGGAAGCCTGTGATATAAGAAGCTTGGCCTCAAAATGAAAACAGGGAGTTGCAGAGATGGCTCAGTGGTGAAGAGCACTTGCTGCAGCATAAGAACCGAAGTTAGGATCCCGGCACCCACATTACTGGCGCTTGCTGACTTGTGGCTTAGCTGAAAAACTGTGAGGTCCGGGTTTAGGGCAAGAGACTGTGCCTCAAAGAAGTAAGGTGAGAGCGACAGAAAAGAACGCCCACATTCTCCTACGGCTTCCACACACTCCCAGCCTCACACTTGCTCTTACACCCCACACACTGCACTCATGCATATTCATATACACTCACATATATGCACACACTAACCAAAGCTAAGTAACAAGCCAATGAGGGGTGTGCACACACACACACACACACACACACGCACACGCACACGCACACGCACACGCACACGCACACACCACATACTGTGGAGTATTACTCATAAATGACTTTAGGTCATTTACATTTAAATCTTTTAAGGGTAGAAGGAATAAAAACTCATGTCTCTTCAGTTCATTAGCTCATAGTTCTAATCAACTGTTGGATGAGGATAGAAGATCAAATTATAATTTGTGGTGCCATGGATTTCAGTTATCCACACTTTCTGTTCCTCAACGCATCAGTCAACCAAATATTGACTGTATGTGAATAACTACAACTGTTTATTAATTTTAAGTAAAAAAGACGATATTTTCTTTCTAAAATTATATGCATACATGTCTGTCAGAAATAGAAAGTCTAACAAGATTGTCAGTTGTCATTACTCCTCCTCCTCCTACCAGAACTAGAAACCATATATTATTACAAAAGAAAAAGGCACCCCCTCTGATGGAAATAGGCTAGTAAGCTGGGAAGGGTAGCTTTAAAGCTTAGAGCTTGTCTTTTATATGTTAAAAATTCACACAAGCAAGGACATGAAAACACTGATTATACTGCTGTCCCTTGGAAATGGAGTGCTCATAATATTGGACTTGACAAATCTTGCCCAAATTTTGCAAGAAATATAAGAATATAATTTTTAACTTGATGCTTTCAATTTGTTGGGAAATGAATGTTCATATTTCACAGAGAATGAAGCTGAGGTTTTTTTCTAAAGTTCTTTCATAATGCTTTTGATTTTTTAAAGATTTTATTTTGTACCTAAAAATAATAGTTGATAGAAAATTGCAACATTTTTCTCAGCCTCTGCAACCTTTGTGGGGGAAAAAGATGTTTGAATATGTCTTAACTAATGTCAAATAAACACAAAGCTTACTAAGGTATTGGAAATATGTCCATTGATCAGACTTCTCCTCATAAGAAATATGTAAAAAAAAATAAAGCATTTATCTCTGCTTTTCTTGATCTTTTACTGAACCTGAAAACACCAGCTAGTATTAATAAAGACTTGACAATATTTAGAAATAAAATAACTGGCTGAAGTCCAAATACATTTGATTTTTTTTCCATCCACATATCATAAGAATTCAAATAAACTTTTGAGTACAATAAAAACATGACAGCTCTGTTGGTATTTTATCAAGACAGACAGAGTGGTAATTTTCTTTGGTTTTCTGTTGTCTGAAACTCATGCATCTTATTAACACCAGGCAGGTGTTTTCTTCATGTCAAGCTTTGCTTGATCAGGTTGTTATCACACTTATTTCATTGGCACTAAATATGGTGATCTGAGATTCCAGCTCTCATTTATTTCTAACTGCTTGACACAAGGAAACAAAAATGCCAAATTCCTGTGTTATTTAAAGAATCATGTGTATTGGTTTTTGGAATGGTAAATATACCTTAAGGATCCGAGACTCAGTGAATTTTTTAGGCATTGGCCAAAAAAACTCACTTGTAAAATGTGTTCAAATCTTCTTTCACAGAAAGCCTGGAGATATCACACATATGGAAGTGTTTTAAATTAAAGTATAATCTCATAAATTGCCAAACACCGATTCATTATGTTACTGTCAGTTATAATAACAGTAGTTACTATAGCAGTTACATCCTAGATATAACTTGATCACCAGTAAGAAAAATTATTCCTCAATAAGATTGTGAATATTTATATATATAATTTAGTCCATAGCTAACCCATTAACTAGAGGCACATGACATTAATGACTACTTGTGCATAATTGCAAACATTATTACAATGCCCTCACATGCTTTTTTGTGGCAATGAGTCTATTAACTTAATATGTACTTTAATCTCTCTAAAAACCTTTTGAAGTAAGTAGTAATATTCAGTTTATAAATGAGGAAACTGAAACACTCTTGCTATGTAACTTGTTCACAACCAAACAACCGTTGGGCCCAATAGTTCATGATCATTAACACTGTTTTCTGCTATTTGAGCAATTTAGTCATAACTAGCATTTTATTGCGTTCACATGCTAAGTTCCCTATGGTAACAATGCTATCTTCACATCAGCTATCTTAAGTGTTTGGATCATGAACTAGATTGGAAATGTACATAGAGTGATAAAGACATGCTGTATGAATCATTCACTACTGTCCTAGGTGGGGGTTACAATTGCTGTGATGAAATATTATGACAAAAAGCAACTTGGGGATGAAAGGGCTTTTTTCAGCTTACAATTCCAGGTAATAGTCCATCACTGAGGAAAGTCAAATCAGGAACTCCAAAAGGTCAGGAACCTGGAGGCAGGAGCTGATGCAGAGGCCATGGAGCAGGTGCTACTTCCTGGCTTACTCCTCATGGCTTGCTCAGTCTGCTTTCTTATAGAACCCAGGACCACCAGCCCAGGGAGGGCACCACCTACAATGGACTGGGCTCTCCACCATTGATAAATTATTAAGAAAAATGTCTTACATCCAGATCTTATGGAGGCATTTTCTCAATTGAATTTTGCTTTCAGATAACTCTACTTTGTGTTAAGTTGACATAAAACTATTAGCACAACTACTAAATTTGAGCCCTAGCTCAAGTGTGCTGTATATTAGGTGATCTGTAGAAACCACTACAGTCCAGTTTCAAGGTGACTAAGAAAATTATACACAAGATAATTGATCTTCTGCCATGGACAGTACATTTACTAGCTAACAATCCCATCTATCTGCCAAGTAGTGGTAAAAATGTTTCTTGACAAGCAATTTTATTGGATAATATATAGGGTCTTGTGAAAATATCAATTAGTATTGGATTTTCCACAAAAACGGCAGAATTGAGTTGAAACTTGCAGGAAAGCAGAGAGAGGAAAGTAAGTATAATCTGCTTGGAAAGCTGTGACAGCGTGATCATGCCAGCCATCCCTAAGTTCCATCCTCTGCGATCTGA